CAGTTTGGGGAGGGGAGGGATGTGAGATTTCAAAAAGAGATAGCACACAGATTAAAATGCCTGAATTTGTTTACTGCACTCCTTTCTAGATAATAAAACTTGAAAATAAAGTGGTTTCAAAAGATAATGAAGAGAATACAAGGGCGTTGATCAAGTGATTGCACAGGAAATTGGTGACCATGGGTCCAACTATTTGAGCACAAGGTAAATAATGCATGGAGATAGAGTAATGTAATTCAGAGTTGATGGTACATTTATATTTAATAGTACTTGGCACATATAGCTGTTGTTACAACATCTAATACCTAATGGGATATAGTAATATACATAAAATAAAAAGGTTGTATACCAACTTTAAGAAACATGCTTGGTATAGGCAATGTCCTCATCTCAGTTGACCATTTTTCATTAACGCAAAGCAGAGATATGAAAAAAGGTCAAGATCTATTCGTTATTTTCTCATTAACTCATTTGAAAATCTTTACTCTGTGTCTGTTGCAAATGAGTTTTCCTTCTAGGCACTTAGAGAGCTGGCCTGAACAACAGAGCCCTTGTTTCGTGAAGTTGATATGCTTCTTATGAATTTTAAATATATGACAATAATAAAAAGATTTTCTAAGTTTTATCAAAAAAGAAGAATGTGAAAAGGCCTTCTAAGGAATATATGGAGCCCTACAATGGTCCTATGTATAGTATATCTTTGATAAGAAATTGATTTGATTCAAAATAGAGTGAAAGAGTATTTTCAAATGAGCCAAACATAATCATCACTTAGATAATCAATATGACCAAGGAAAAATACTCTTAAAGGGCTGAAGACAGTTTTCCTAATTCAATGGTTTATTAAGAATATTTAAAAATAGATTTTCAGTATCTGCTATGATCCTCCTTGTTTTAAAGAGGCTTTTCCAACTAGACATGGTTTATGTGCTCATGTAAATGTTGGTAGGGAAGGTGGGTGAGGAAAAGAAAGGCCTTTGAAGAGGCCATTGCAAGGGTCAAAGTGAGAGGGAGTGTGATGGGTTGCATTGCATCACCAAAAAGATGTATTGAAGCTCTAACCTCCAGTATTTCCAAAGGAGACTTTTCTTGGAAACAAAACCATTGTGGATGGAATTGACTAAGTTAAGGTCTGGAGTGGGTTAGATCCTTGATCCAGGACGGCCAATGCCCATATAAGAATGCACGAAGGCACAGAGACAGGGTCCTGGAGGAGAGAGCCCCATGCAGTAAATGCAGATACTGGAGTGACCCAGAGCAAGCCAAAGAACACCGAGGAGCATCTGCGCCATGGAGGCCGGAAGAAAGGGTTCCACTTAGGGTCTCGAAGGGCCCTGGCCTTCTGGCCCTTTGTTGTTAGACTTCTGCCCTCTATAATTACAACAGAATAAATTTCTGCTTTAATGTCAAGAATTGAGCATTTATTTTTTTAGTCAGGGTAATTGCCTTTCTGGAAAAAAATCTCTTAAATCTAAATCACTGTCATATAACCAAAAGGAACGCGTGAACAATGACCCTGAGCATCTGTGACAATATGAAAGATTCAGCAACTTTGTCAGTAAGGTCTATGGCTTATATGGCCGATGCTACTTGAGCTTTTATTTTTGTTACTATATTTCTTAATATTTTTGTATGGAATTATGGGGGTTCTATGATTATTATATTTAAAAATTAAGGACAAAGAGGCTTAGAGGGTTTAAAAAATTTCTCGGAGCAGCACAACTAGGGAAAGGGGAAAGGAAAACTGGTATGCAAGAGTTAGTCTGATCTGTGTGTGGACCTAGGTTGGTTAATTGTTAAAATTGAAACTTCACTGGGCTTAGGGGTGTCCAGGTAGCTAGTAAACTTTAATTTGTGGATGAGTTTGTATGACTGTTTCCATAGCAGAGGAGCATTTGCCTCAGTAGACAGAGTAAAGAAGATCGCCTAGCCTCACCAGTGTGAGTGGGCGCCATTCAATTCACTGAAAGCCGGGATAGAAGGAAAATGTGCAGAAAGGACAAATTTCCTTTCTTTTCTTGTGTGGAGACATCCCCCATCCTGACCTTGGACATTGGAGTTCCTGGTCCATGTACTTTCAGACTCTGCAAAACACATTCTCGTCCCACTTCATTATGCAGCCTTGGACTGAGTTGAAGTCCTCAGGACTTTGGACTTGGACTTACTCCAGCGGCCTTCCTGGCTCTTCGGCTTGTGGGCTGTGTACAATAGTAAGGAGGCGCTTGGTTCCCTTATCACATTAGCCAGTTCTTATGATACATCTGCTTTCTTACATCAGTGTGGATTCTGTTTCTCTGGAGGATTTAGGTGCATAGAGTCTCTACGCGGTGGCTTTACAGTGATGATGTTGATACAGGTAAGAAACTGCAGGTTAATCTTTCTCTTTTATAACCCTTTGCTCCCTGCCCTCTCACTCATGTTGCCCGAGCCCAGTGAACCAGAGGGGAGAAGGAAAGGAAAGGCAGGAGGGAGTGAAGTAATGTTCCTTCTCGGCTGTAGAACGAGGGGAAACTACATCGGAAGTAACTTGGAAGCATAACTGAGCACCGTAACTAAGATGTTCAGTTCTTCTATGTGATTGTTTGATGCACGGAACATTTTGTTAGTTTTAAAACTTTATATCATGAAACTCATGTTAGTGAATTTTTATATGGGGTTAAAGAAGGGATGTAGTGATTTTGTGCAAAAGTCATCTATTCATTTTATTTTCTTTTGTGTGTGTGTGCGTGATGCTGGCGTTTGAATCCAGGTAAGTGCTCCACCACTGAACCACTGAATCTCTAGTCCTAAGAGTTATTTGTTTTTAAAAAGCCGCTGGAGAAAATATTACTGGTAATGATAATAACTCCTGAGATACAGCAAGAGTTCCAGGATTCTGTGTCTAGAGTTTGTTACCAAGATAGCATGGGTTATTTGACTTAGTCTTCAACAGCTAATCTCCCCTCTTTTTCTTTCACCCTTATGGAGGGGCAGTGGCAGCTCTGGATTTGCCTTTGATTTCACTCACATTAGTGGGGGAAACAATTTATTTGAAATAGAAGAATGTAATAATTTTCTTAATGAGGAAATTTTTCACAAGACAATTCTGGGAAAAGAAATCTTTCCACCATATTTTAAAGGGGTTTTTATAGAGTCTTGTGAATTTCATGGGTTCTATTTGAATCAAATCACTTACTGGCAAAATCTATAATTGCTGGGCTGTATTTTAGGCTATCTATATTTAATGATTCCTTTCTTTGTGGCTCAAATTCATTTTATCGACTTCATTTGGCATCTCCATAAGATAATATAACATACTAATACTTTGTTGTGACAGTAGCTAATGGTGTCCTATAAAGCTTTATATTATTTGAAATTATAGCCCAACATGATGGAAAAATAATAACATGGAGACAGATCCAGGGATTCAGCTGTATAAAACAACTTCAAATGACTGACTTGAAATACCTTTTAGTATTGCAATGCCAGAGAATTTCAGATCTAGAAATGCTTCTGGGTGTGTATATGTGCGTGAAGTTGGAGATCAATCCCAGGACCTTGTGCAGACTACAGCAACCTGTCCACCACGAGCTATATCCTCAAACTCCCAGATGATTTCAGCACCACTGCTATTTCTAGCACCTTGATACCCAAAGACCCCATTTAAAAAAAGGTTAATGAAACTAGAGGAGATAAAGTGGCTGACTGAAAGTCATACTGGCAGAGTTTACCTGCAACACTAGTGAGAGTGACTTCATTTGGCAACTGAATAATGGGAAAACAATAAAAACTAATAAATACTTAGAAAGCCATTTTCGATATCGCTGCCAAGTGGACCTAGTTAATAGCCTAGGTTCAAATCCTTCTCCATTGTATGGGCTATTTGTCAGGCTGCTTATTGCCTCAGTTTTGATCCTCTAAAATATGTTTGACAGCATTACTTGCCTAATTGGGTTTATGAAGAAGAAAGTCTGGAAACTAATATGAATTTTTTAAAAAATTTTAAGCTCTCTTTGCTTCAAAGCTAGTTTATGTAAGGACACACTTGTAGGGCAAAGGGGCCATTTTTAAATATTCGAAAAATAAAGTTCAGATTATTTGGTAATGTGATTATTTCACGGATGACTCACACAGTGTATTGCTATCTTGTTGCATTTCGTTAGCACCTTGCTTTTTTATTGTAATCATAAATATTTTATGATCTGACCACATTTATTTCATCCAATTTATTAAGTAAAAGACTGTCTTTGTAGATCTAAAGTTTTACAGATGTGAAAATATCTTTTAATGCATACATTCAGTTATGAATGCTACATAATTGAAAGAGAAACAGAGATAATTCTTTTTCTTTCAGCTTCCCTCACCTCATTTTTTACAACTGCAATAATTGTTCCCAGAAGTCACTACACGCGGTGAAGTCTGGGCTGACACCCTTTGATGTGTCTCTCCCATGGTAAGATCAAAAAGTTCCTATAATTACATTTGGTAATTTTGGAGTCATTATGTTTGTTTTTAAGATTTTCTGTACTAAAAAAAAAAAAAAATCTAGGTCAACAAGTCATTGTTGTGCCAAAATAGCAGCGTGAAAAACTAGGAAGGGAGGTGAAGGTGTTGAATTATCACTGGGTCAGAGTACTAGGGGTCATGACTCATTACCCAAAGGCAGTCTCAGTGACCAGCCAGGAAAATAATGCCTCAAAATGTGCAGAGAACCCATTTTCCAAACACTGAAGTGAATAACATTAGTGGCTTGAAACATTGCTTGGGAGAGGCTGTGCTATTCACTTAGAAGACTTCATGAAAGTATACTACAATACACTTATGTCTGAATTTTCTGTAGAATTATGCTTACAGTAGGTCAGGCCTGCTACATAATTGCAACGGGCATTTTGCCAAGAGTATTTTTTAGTGTTCAGGAATTTATTTTTGAATTATGTGAATAAAAAAATGAAAGCTTGCAATGAAATGTTGTGTTTGCAAATCTGACTGAAGACTATTTATAATATGTAGATACTGTTGGGTTGGTGCGTGGTCATTTATTTGCTGGTTATAGGAAGGGCTCCCTATAGTTCTTTGGAGAAAAGGATCTCACAGTCTTGTCCCTGCAGCAAGTGCTGAGTGTGGTCCTGTGTGAAGGCTGGTGGATGGGCTGGATCACGCTCCCTGGTTCATGGCAGCTCACAGATCAGAAGATGATGACGACATGGCAGTTAGAGTTAATCTTTGGTAGCAGATGCTGAAACAAACCTCTGGCCAGATGATCAAATTGGACTGAAGCGAAACATTCATCAGCGTCTGCTGTAGTCATTCACACAAATGGACAGCACTGAGCACTTCGTAGCCATTCCTACGGGTTCCATGGGAAATCAAACCCGGTGTTTTTATTTCACATCTAATAGATGGAGATACTTGTAATCCAGGTGTTCTAGTTCAGTGGGTCTAGGTTCTTCTTGTGGGACAAGATGACAGAAAGCCAGAAGTTTGTTTTCTAAAATGAAAAGCTGCAAACTTGAGAAAGCAAAGAGTTATCAGCTTTCAGTAATGCAACCTGTTTGTGCATAGTGCTCTTGCAGTCTCTGGAGAATTTCCAAGGGATGGGATTAAAATTCATCACATTTTACTTTTCAACCATCATTTCCACTTCTAGGAGTTATTCAAAGGATGAATTATGTATTCATGTAAAGATTTAACCACAAACATATTCGTGGCAGTATAATTTTTTTAATAGAGATAGATGGAGAGAAACCAAATATTTAATTTACTTACTCAATCAAAAATACCCATCTAGTCACTGCTCTGAGTCATTACTGCTCTATTTAGTAATCAGTGGTAGGTGGATATGGTAGTAACAACAGTTCATGCAATGATATTTGACGTGGCCAGTGACAGTGCTGTAGGAGAGTACTTGGTGACACGGTAAGACAGTGATGGCACTTTCCTGAACAAGTAGACTACGAGAGGTGCACCTTCTGGTGACTATTACTCTTTTAATTGTACTGGAATTAATTTGAGTAACTTTACTAAGTAAAACAAAATAACAGGTGCTATGTCTAAACAACTCAGAAAAAATTCTTTCATGCCAAAAGCTGTGTCTAAATCAGTCGCTGCTGCTGATGGATCTTCTAAATAAAAGGAACAATTCAGAAATACTCACTGAGCTCCGCCCCGGGCTGTCTCATGTGAGGCTCCGGGAAGCAATGGTGGTGTCACTAGGGTGGTCTGGGCAGGAACACTGCTCGTGCAGAGGAGAGGTGCGAGGACAGAGCCCAGATTCAGACTTCACAGCTGGGGTTCCAAGGCACAGGGTGGTGTATTGACCATTCCCTCACACACACACACGCACACACACACACACACCTGACTCTCTGTCCTTGGTGTCATGTGATTATTTTGTCACAGTTTTTCTGCTACATAGGCCCCCGAGTGACATCCATATTAAGAGCATTGGGTGCTGGCGGTTAAGAGCAAGCTGGCAGTAAGAAACAGACAGTGTTGCAGGCTTACCATAGGCTGTGGAGGACTAGCCACAGGTGAAGGAGGAAGGTCTGTCCTGTTCATCCAGCCCAGGTCCAGGTGGCTATCATTGGACACAGAAATGGAGAAGGGCCAAGGTGCAGATTGCGGCCAGGGCATGACATTGGGCAGGCAGGTGGTAGCAGCTGTCAAGGTCCTCCCTGTGGGGTGGGGAGCAGCTCAACAAGTTAGCTGTAGAGCACTTGCCTGGTGTGTGTAAATCTTGCTTGGGTACCTGGCACTGCAAAACACTGACCAACCAAATGAGTAAAAATGGTCATCCTCTGCTTGAAGGTTTGTCGGGAGTGTGGCTGCTTAGTGACAAGGGACATTGGAAGCCAAAATGTGGCTGTGGATGAGGAGAATTCTGCCTACCTCAGGCAAGTATTATGGGTCACCAGGGAAGTTATATTTAGTTAGCAACTGAATTTATTTTACCGAGTTCTGATATTTTCTGTGTTGTGATTTGCATACAATCTGCCTACATAAAAATTAAAGATATATATATTTTTAAACTAGGACATCAATGGAGAATAAAGCGTTCTCTGGATGTGTGTTTTCCACTTTAGCACATGTCACATTACGTTTTCCTGCAGTTCCATAGGAAAATTGGTACCCTAAGGAGTGCCAATAAAGTTCAAATAAAAATTTTTTCCCCTATGGCATGGAGGGACCTTTCTCTGATTGTGCTGCTCTCTTACAACATCAAGCTTAGGATTGGCTTCTCCTGCATTCGAAACTCCTGAATGATTGCCTCAAGTTCTACCTGCCTGCAGGAGATAAAGCTGAAAAATGTGTTTGGGACTTTGGAATAAAACAAACAGAAGCAAATAGAAACCGGTATCCAAATGTATACGGTGCAATTAGATTAATCTATAGCCCAGTTCATAAAGGAAAACTAATTAAGAATCAGATGGATAGTTTTTTGGGGAATTTTTATGCAGGGTACATTGTGTGTACCTGTGTAATAAATTGCATTATGGCACACACAGGTCTAGTAATTGAGGCCCACTGGGAGCTATGCTTTTACTTTAGATTTAAATTTGCCTCCAAGTTTGGAAAGCTTGAGGGTATTAAGTGATTAAGATCTGCACGCTAGGATTCTGGAGTTGGATTTTACAGCTTACTGGCTTGCAATTAGGAGGATTTTGTCTGTACACAGGCAAAATGAGGTATGAAGTTGAGCAGTGATTGATGAGTTTTATCAGTTTAGAGTCAAATGGAATAGTTCAGGCCAAAGTATAGCTTTTTCATTGAAGTTTTTCAAGAGTCTGAATTTTCTGAATAATAGTTCTAATTGTCTCTACATTGTGCCTGTAGAAGTACCTTTAAAAGATGCAAGGAACTTTTAGAAAATGTTTAAGTTCTCATATAGATTTTATTTTGCTAAAATACCTGGTAGATGTTTAAACTCAATGCCTTTTAATGTTGAATATTACCTAATCATACTGTCATATTGATTTACATTTTCTAGCCCAGGACAAAAATCTGGTTTTTATAGTTTTTTTTTTTCATGCCTTGATACCCTTCAAAAGCAAGTTTGAGCCAAAATAGGTAACTTAGTGTTTTAGAGTGACTCTCTTAGGGAAGAGAAAGAAAGAAAGAACCAGAATGGGTATCTCAGTGCAGAGATCCTGGGTTCAATTCCCAGATCCACAAAATATTCCAAACACCTCCCAAAACAACCCTACAAAGAGACATAGAAGAGAAAAGAGAAGTCACTCAACTTCAATGGGTGCTCTCTATCAAATCCTCCTTTCTTTCTTCTGGCCAGGCTGTGACTTTCTAGCAGTTCTCATTATTCAGTTTCTGTCTTGGTGCCAGTTAGATGATAGTTCAAGCTAAATTCTTCTTTTTAGCTGCTTTGAAACTGAGTTTCTGGCTCTGATTCCTTTGGGGTAGGGGATTTGGATGTGCTCTGTCTGGGCTGGTACTTGTGAAAGCATAATTTCACTGCTTGTTTTCACACTGTCAGCCTTCCTAGACCTGGATGGAGTCTGCCACGCTGTAGTACCCGCTCCCCTCTGGTCACCTCTGCCTCCAGATTGGTCTCCCTGACACCGCTCTTGCTCAAGCTCTGCAGGCTTGGTCAAAACATTCCTTTTGCTTAGGGCATTTCTTAGATTCAGCATCCCTAGGATGGCAGAGTTAGTTTCAGATTTTATCTTCTTGTAATCTCTCCTTTTTAAAATATGTCACAAATGGGAAATGTGTTTTCTATTTTTCTGATAGAATTGTGTATTCCATTTTCTGATTGTTGAAATCCCTAATAAAGTTACCAAAAATCACTTAACAAAAATCAACTACAGAAACTTATTTTCGTCCTCAGCAGTAAAGATCCTTGAATGGTTTTGCTGGTGTTGTCTAGCCTCTTTTCTGTGTCTGGATCTAAGCTAGAGCACACATCTGGTTCACAGGATATCTTCAGTGGGACAATCCAAGCATGACCTCAAGTCAAAAGCAGAGGGGCTTGGAAACGAAAGATGTTCAGTGTCTGTTTGTATCAGGTTTGGGGTTGTCTCATTGGCCAAAGTACGTTTCAAGTTCAAGTGCTGGGTGAGCATGGAATTCACTGCGAAGAAAAGGGAGCAAGCTTGGTGCACAGCTTCCGGCATTAGCAAAGAGCCGAGGAAGAGAGATGGAGTCAGTGCTAGGAGGAATTGTGTGGTTCTGTACCAGAATTTCCCAAACCAAATCATTTGACCATTTTTCATAATCTCCCAGAATTATAATCCTTGTCATATATAACAAATATCTGTAGTTTGTTCTAAAAGTTTCCATTAAGAAGAGAAATTACAGTAATTTTGAAATTGAGTCACATGGTTAAAATTGTTGACATACCACTCTACTTATCAAATTTAGTAATAATTATTTACTTTTATAATTTTTGTTGAAAGCAGTATTGGCCTTTCCCACACATTGGTCCCGGGGATTATTCGGTTTAGAAAACCAAACCAAGCTAAGCCAAAACCCAACCAAACCAAAACCAACCCAACCCAAACCAAACCGGCACTTGCTCCTTTTGCTTCCTGCAACTCCCTCACTAGGGCCAGATTCATTTTTCCACAAGTGGAGACATGGTTTGAAGCAACATAAAGTGCATGTGAATTCAAGGCCCTCTCTTCTTCCCACTAGTGCATCCTCTTTCCCTTTGCTGTTATTTAGAAGCTTCCTCAAATCACCCTGTTGGCCTTTATATCCCTTTTCTGAACATTCTACCACGCTGCCTCCCTATAACTACTTTCTCCAGAGCAAGACATTTTGCTCAGGTGTTCTTTTACCCATTTCTTCAGTTGTCAATATTTCTTACTCGATCTCATCTCACATTCCTGAAAGTCGTTTCTTTTGCAAAAGTGTTAATAAACAAATTGGTGATCACACAACGGGTATCTTTAAGAGGAAGCCTGGGGTGTGAGGGTGATCTGGCTGTGACATCTGTTACCCCATTGATTCCCAGGGCTGTTTCGGTTGATCTGGGTGGCTAGGCAGGTGTTCCCTTCCTCCCTCATCACTCTATGTGTACCCTCCCGAAGCTGAGCGCTGTCACCCCTGACAGAAGAAGACCGTTTCCTTGGTCAAGGGTATACAAGTAGCTGCGTTCCCCTGCCAGATCCTCCAAACAAGAGGAAACTTTAATGATTTAGGATAGCTGGATTTATTTTGGGCTATACAGCTCTGGTGAAGTGATTACAATATTTTTCTGATTTTGAAACATTCTGTGTTGGTTCTAAATACTTAAAAGTTCAGTCCGAAAAAAGAAAATAAAACCACTGAAAATCGTGCAAACTAAGGCTAAATTAATATATTTTTCTCAATTTAGGATCTTTATGTATATGTTAATCAGTTCAATAATCAATTGTTTTGAGTTATAAATAGAGCAAATTCACAGAATTCAACTGTGTGTGTGTGTGTGTGTGTGTGTGTGTGTGTTTTTCTGGTATTGGTGATTGAACTCAGGTCCTTGAGCTTGCAAGGCAGGCAGTGGAACCACTGAGCTAAATCCCTGGCCCTCAGCTATATATTTTTAACCATGCCTTACATTAGGAACCAATGAGGTATAGACACATATTTTCATATGTATAATGAATGCAGATGTGGGAAACTTGAGATCTACAAAGCAAGCCAGATTCAGAAGGTAGGGAATTCAGGAAAGACCATGATTTCTGGTCCAAGACTTGATCTGCAGGGTTTCTGTGCTGCATTTTTGAGGCAGCGTTGCCTCTTTTCCCAGGAAAACACCTCTTTTGCTCCAGCCTTCAGCTGTGTAGAGGACACATACATTGCAGAGTGAAATCAGCTTTAAGCAAAATCTAATGCTTCAAATGTTAACCATCTCCAAGGAATATCCTAGACAGTTATTTGACCAAATAACCAGGTGCCATGTCCATCCTTGACACAGAAAATTAACTATTCTACTTCTTATAAATGGTTTTCATCCTGGTTTCATTATTAGGAATAAATGTCTGTAACTATTCTGGTATGAAAGCCTCTGTTCACAAATTTGATGAATCTATTAAATACACAGGCAGAGGAATGACTAATTTGCCTATCAAAAACATACACTCATTAGGAAGAAACTGATATCTGGACAATCTGTCTCTGTAATGTAGATCCCAGATCACAGCTGTTTCCTCTGTCCTACTCTTCAGCCTTTTCCACACAGTCACCCCTGGATATCTCTGACAGTGAAACCAAAGCCCCTGAGAGAGGGCAGCTGGTCTTCTGGGGAACAGTTGATATAGACAAATATCTCTGATGACCAAGGTAGCTTCCAGTCTTGTACTTCATTTATGGCTTAGAGAAATAAAAGAACATAGATGATGCCGTGTTGTATACTTGTTGTCTTAATTGTTTTTAATAACACTCACTTAAGGCAGAAACTATTCTCATCACCCTTAACAGAGAGAGAATTTGAAATTTAAAGGAATTTAATGAGGAGTATCCTGGCTGGCGGGCATTAATTTATCCCAAGAATGTGACATCATTCTTCATCAGGGAGTAGGAAGACGGTAGTGAAGCCAGGCATGGACTACTTCTGGGAGCTGAGAATTTCTGAGATTGGGTGTTGTCAGTTTAGGGATTACAATTGCTGTGGTAGACTGAAGGATAGTTGTCCAGAGAGGCCCGAGATCTGAAGCCAGGTGCATTTTGGTCATACATCAAATATTTAGTTGTTAAGTTCCATTATCTCATTGGAAGAAGACCTGGAGGAGCTGTGTTTCTGATTGAAAGCACAATAGAGTGAGGGGAAAACAGTGTCTTCATCACCCTAAAGGTTAATGGTGGAGGATGCCAGTCTTCAGAGTGTGATTGTGCCCATGTGTGTTTTGTGTATGCACTGGATGGTTTTGAAGCAGGACCATTACAGTACTGAGGACAGGTGATGGAATAGTGGACAGAACCATTCGGTTTACAGTCGAGGAGGACAGAGTGTGGAAATACTGTGCTCAAGGTCCCATGGTCCGTGCTGCCCACTTTCTGTGGTAAAATGAAATAGTAATTTTATGCTAAAAATAATACTTCAGAAAACATGCATCTTTCCATTTTCTGGACAGTGTCATTTAACAAATCTACTATAGATTCAAAACCCCACTGGTAGGTTCTGGACACTCAGATTTTAGGACTGAAATTATATGTCTCATGTCACTTTCAGAAGTGGCAAAACATTTCTGGTCAGACTATTTGTTCCCACACTTTTTGGTGTGGAAAATCTGTCCCCATAACCATGACTGAGAGTATACATTTCCAGGTCAATGGAGAACATAGCATAATTTTCTTTCTTTGCCATTTTCACGGGAGCTTTACTCCAGTTCTCCTCGGCTTCCTTTTCCCATCTCCTGTGCCTTCGCTTTCTGGACTCTGCCTTTGGTTTCTTTTTTTAGTAGAATATGTTTATGATACATAATAATTACATTCTTCTTGGGAGACTGGTACCTATAGCAGCTTGATCATTTTTACTCCTTCCTGCCCTCCCCTCCTTTTCCGTTCTCTGTAGAGTTCTCTCCCTCTCTTTTATTTTGCTCTTTAAATTATTTATACCACGATTCTCTCACATTAGGGTTAGCTGAAAAATAGGGCATTAGAATTACAAAAGAGGTGATATATGTAGATCATTAGTTACCTTGCATACGAGGCACCAAATTTACCTGGAAAAAGCCTTTGCTTAGTGCGTTATACAGCTAAGTGCCCTGGCCTAGGTCATGAATGCAGGATTCTAAATGATGCTTGGAGTCATTGTTGCATCTGCAGTGTAAGAAAAAGAATTGGATCCAAACAGAGGCATCTTCCTTAGGAAGAACCACAGTGACAGCTTCATGTTCTTCCAAGAATGCACAGATGTCTTTGCTGCGGCACACGAACTTCTTCTCACTAAGAATTGCTGGGTGGCTTTGTGCCACTTTGTGGATAAATGGAGGCTTGGGTAATTTTCAGCTAGATCAAGAGCTACATGCTGGGTTTTGGGCTAGGCCAGCTGACCCTTTCAATTTCTTTTCTTTTTCCATTTGCAAAGAAAACTCGCCATCCTCGCACAAGCACAGCAGCAGCAGCAGCAGCAGCAGCAGCAGCAGCAGCAGCAGCAGCAGCAGCAGCAGCAGCAGCAGCAGCAGCAGCAGCGAAGCACACTGCTGCACGCAGTGGTCAGGCGTTTCCCCCAGGATGAATGAGGCCACCGTGAGGATCCATCACTACCATTTCCAACCCTTTCTTTGTTGGAGATGAGCCACTGGCAGATGGCCCTCCTCCACTGACATGGTCTCGGAGTTGGAAAATAGGTTTTCTACAAGAGTCAGAGATTGGTAATCAGGGGTATTGTTTATCTTTCTTTCTCCCTGTGAAGCTTTGTACCATTTAGTTCCAGGACAGGTAGTTTATCTTGGGTGATTCCCATTCCTTCCTCACAGAACAGCTTAATCCAGGATTGTTTTCAAGACTCCCAGGCTGTGGCAGGCTCTTGAGATTTTTTTTTTCACAATGTGCTTTAGCTCTATGTGAATGAAATTCTTGGCTGATGTCCTATTAACGAGATCCAGCAGTATAAAGTTCCTAAACCACTAAAGCTAATCATCACATTTCTCTTGTTTCTACAAGACTGGAAAGCTAATTCTACCAGCTGTGAGTGGCAGAGACAAGGAAGATCATTTATCTTATCACATTGAAGGGAAACCTGTCAATGACAATTCAGGAAATGGAAAGCAAGCACGCAATTGAGGTTACCATTCTGTTGGGAAGGTGGGGAATTTGTAGGGGCCTCCATTTCATTTCAGTGATGTTATTCTTCTAGTCAGAAACATCTTCCTACTAACTTGCACAGGATGAACAAGATCAAGGTCATGAGTCAAGCTTTAAGTGGCCTAATGCACAGCCTTAACTTCATCCAGTTTGTCACATGGTGCTGTCCAACACAAGAGGGACACTGGCCATTGAACATGCATGCACCCCTAAAAATCTAGCTCTAACATTAGAAAAGCAACCCAGAAACAATGTGTTAGCATTATCTGCTCTGGAAGAATGAACATTTATACAAAAAGCCACTCACGTTCTATTTTGGGATTAGTTTAACTGTGTTGTAGAACGCTCAGCAATCAATAAACAGTTCTCGTTTTCCCTTCACAAATCTATCTACCCTTTGGCCCTGAGACACTGAGTAAGGTACTTGATATTTCAGGCCCTGCATCTTTTCATTTGAAGTATGGAGACAAATAAATGTATAAAAATCACTTAGTGTGTGTTTCTTATACCTAGCAGCTCTTTTCAAACATCTAGCATACAGAGTTTTTATGAAGATCGATGAACTGCTAAATACTAACATACTTTAAAAATGTAAAGCCTTACACATCTGTAAGCTATGGATATCATTATCTCTCTGTGTGTGTATTCACACGCAGGTGTGTGCACATTCATATGTATGAGAGGAGACAGTCTGAAGAAACCCTATGTTTTTGTCTACTAACTTCCTAGCTCCCTGTATGAAAGTCCTTAATGCAATGTGCAAAAATACAAGCAATGCCATGGCTAATATTTTTAAATAATCAATTTCATTGAAACCACAGGCTCTCAGGAGAATTACATCAGTCTCCTGGAGGCTGCAGCATGGCTCTGGGTGAGATTGGATCTGCCACTCTGCACCACGTGCCGAACGAATGTGCGTGCGTGTTTGATGGGTTGCTACGGTGGGTTGACCTTTCCAGTACATAGGTGAGGCCACTCCAGTTCCTGGATCTGAAACCTTCTGCGGCATGCATGGCCTGGAGGGTAGAAGGTATTTTCTAATCAATAGCACTTCCAGTCAGCAAAAGCCTACATAAGCTCAATTTTGCAAAATCTTATAACACTTTGTGACAAAGTCATTTATGAATGTTCTTTAGCATTTAAAAAGGCTCTTTGTGTACTCTGTCAGAATTCCAAGCAATGAATTTTGCTTGGTTTTTAAGGGGGAGAAAAGGCTTCCATTTAATTTTTAAAGGAGTACATGAATAAATTTTATTCGGCCTTCGTTGGTGACATCTGTTGTTTATTTCAGAGTTGGAATCATGAAATGTTAGATGTACCAGGGGCCTTAGAGACTAGAGTCCAGTGGTTTTCGAACTGGGGCTTTCAGAGCGTGGGAAGTCTTTGGGGGTGCCTCTGGGGTCCCTCACTGACAGCAGAGCCTGCTTTGCCGATTAGCAGACTTCCAAGAGTGCCAGCCCATTTTACCAGAAAAGCATTGGTTTTCAATGATTTGCATATTAAAATTCATTATATTATTTTATCTAAAATTTTTCTCTTATTTAGAATGTTGGCAAACCACCAACTTACTCCAGATCTTTCCTTTTACAACTAAACATTCAAGACTCCAAGAGAAGTAATATATTTTAAGATTATAAAGATAGTAGATAATTAAGATCCTAGTCTAGAGATACTTATTTCAGTACCAATTCAAGGAAGGAGGAGAACATTGGAGGAGGGGGAACAAAAGATGCTTATCTTGCTCCTAAAGGTAGGGAGGGCCCGATGGATGTGTGATTAAGCACTCTGTGTTATGGACTCTTTTATTTTTCTATTCATTCAGCTTCTAAACTTATGATATGCCACAAACGAGCAGAGAACAAACTGTGACTCACAGGAAGCTCTTGTCCAGAGGCACACACAGAAGGAATTATGTATTAAACACAAAACACATCAGGCAACAAAAGGGCAAGATAAGGAACCACAGGGTCATATTCAATGCAATATTTTGTGTATTTTAATCCGTGAGACATTCCGCCACAATTCAGGATAATAGTTCTCTTTCAGCTTCTCGCAAACTCCAGGGGACAGCGGACCTTGACACACTCAGGGAAATGGAATGAGGCCAAGGAGCTGCAGGACAGTGAAGTAGAGAGAGCAGTTGCAGGTGTGGGGAACGATGGAGACCAGACCGGCTCCCTTGGCGATTTCTAAGTCACAGAGAGGTGCTTAGATCTAATTAAAAAAAAAAATGTACAGCAATGAATGGGCTGTAAGAAGGGAAGGGAATGTTTTCTCCGTTCAAATACAATCTGTCCAGCTGCTTGTACAGAGAATGGATCACATAGGTCAAAGTGGAGAACGGTCTGATTAAGTGGACCTTATAACTTCACAGGAGAAGTGGTGGCTTAGTCCAGTTTGGTGACGGGCTGTGGACTGTAGAGGATGGAGTCATTTGAGATACGATTCGAAATAAAATGTACTAATGGTTAGCTATGAAGAGTAAGGAAAAGAGAGGACACAAAGATAGGTTGGAGATTTTCCGTGATTGGCGGTAGCGTGAGAAGCATGGAAAATACTAAGGAAGGAGCAGTTTGGTGATGATAACTTTAGGGTGCTTGCTAGGTATGCAGCTGAAGAAACAGTCTAGACAGGGTTCGGAGCCTGCATTTGAAGGCTGAAGACATATACGCTGGGGCTATGCGTGCTGTCTTTAAAGCTACTGGTGTGAATGGCGATCATCTAGGGAAAGGGAAGAACACAGGCAGGACTCGCGCCAATCCTAAGCTCTCAGACATTTAGAGGCTGATAAAAACACGTGGAGAGCAGAAACTGAGAGGAAAAAAGCAGAACGCCCGGTACCGTGAAACAAAATGCCCATGCCTGTGCAACAGCTCTACTGAGTTGACCATAGGGATTGGCTCCCAGCAGATATTCAGAAAATAGTCCCAAATAAGTGATAGTAAAAACTATGAATTTTCATGGACAATCGAGCCCATCATTTGCTGGCATATGGAATGTGGATCTCTCCAAGGGTCAGGAAATTCAATTTCTTTATTAATAGAACTTGAATACACAGAGATTTAGCTCTATGTACATTTTATTCAGTCATGAGAAGTTTAATTTTAGTATGCATGCGTTTTGAGATGGGAATTACTAATAGAAATACTTGGAAAAGGAACTGTAAATTGTATATTAAAAAAGGAATGAAACAGGTGGGGTAAAAGTGGAAAAGATTGTGGCATAACCTCAAAAATAAAAGGATGCAAGATAGTGAAGCAAAAGAGATCGGGGCCACAAAATTATTAGATGGAAATGAAAATTGATGCCACCTAAAAAGGGCTGACATGATTTGGGCAGAACCCTTGGCTAAGCAAAGGCACTCCCAGCCCATACTTTACTAACTGAGGAACTTAAATTTAAGTGACTTTGTACTTGAGATCATAATAGAACAGGAAGAGGGGAAGAAAGATGAGGAGGAGGAGGAGAAAGAGGAGAAGAAGGTGAGGGAGAAGAAGGAGAGGGAGAGGGAGAAGTAGAAGGAGAAGGGAAAGGGAAGGGGAAAAGGAAGATGGAGGAGGGGGAGGAGGAGGAGGTGGGGGCAGAGGCAGCGGTGGAAGAGGAGGCAGAGGAGGAGGAGGA